AATCTCTTGAACCAGGGGGTCATCTGTGTTAAACTAAACTAAAACTATAAAGATTTTGTTTTATTTCAGCAGGTAAGGCCCCACTGAGCTGTATATCTCTTTTTCAGAAGCGACCTGGCTATCACAAATGATAGCTCGACCAAGTGGCTTATCGCGTGAAAATGTATTCCAGCCAAATACTCTAAACGCATGTTTCTGAATGTCTAAGGAAAAACCGGAGGGCCCAGAGAAATATCCACGCGATCACAGGGAGAGAGAAAGAGACACAAACTCCAAATACACAGCATACCAGGCGAGGTAGTTAACATCTCCTAACCACCGTGATGATGATGGTGAGAGAGACACGCAAACTCCGAATATACAGCAGCAAGCATCGTCAGGGTCAGTATCGAATCCATGAACCTGCTGCATACCAGGCGAGGTAGTTAACATCTCCTAACCACCGTGGCGCCCCAATAACAAATCCTCGTCGTGCCTGTCCCGAATAGATCCCTTCAGCGTTGTTAATTTTTTCCCAAAGTGCTGCAGCTCCCCCCCACCACCACCCATCGATTATTGCCGCAGCTTTCTAAACACACTGTGAAAACACGAGAATAGTTTTTTTCCCCTTTTTCTGGCAACAATTCTTGTGGTCAGAATGCAAACAAAAAAGGCGCGCCTTTTATTTTGTTCCAAAGGAAGCTGTCTCTGGTGTGGACCAATCAGTTTCAAGGACAATGCCACATATATTATCAGAGTACGTGTTTTTGTTCGCATTCTGACCACAGGTATTGTGGTCAGAATGCAGACATGATCCCTTGAAAAAGGTTTCGGTTTGGTGTTTTAACATCTTAACACAGCTGTTTTGTTCCCAGAAAAAAGGGGAAAACCGATTCTCATTTAGGTACTGGCAAAGGAGGTCCCATGTCACGGTGAAAACGTTTAAGCCCAATGGTTCTTACCCTGGGGTACATCTCGCACCCCCTGGGAGTGCGAGATGCCCTTTCTGGGGGTGCGAGACATGGCCAGCTTTTTTTTTGTTAAAAGGTAAATAATCGAAAACACAAATTAAGCACGGATAGGTAAGGACAACTTACCTTTGTTTCATCAAACCCGATGTGTTTACTAACACTGTCATTGTTGTCTCACGGTCGGGAACCGAACGGGTTGCAAGGCTGCAGAAAAGGTGAAGAACCACTACACTACACTATACACTACACCAGGGGTGTCCAAACTACGGCCCGCGGGCCAACTGCGGCCCGCGGTCCAGTTTTTATTGGCCCGCAGCAAATTCTGAAAATATAATTGAATATGGCCCGCGCAAGATGCTTGAGCTCAACTCTGTTGCACTTCTCAGTTTAAACACTAGATGGAGCCAGCCAGGGAAAACCGTGCTTCTCCACTAAACAAAATTAATCAAAGAAAAACTTTTACCGCGAGTCACCAGAAATGGCAGCACCGCAGAAATGCAAAATAGCGAGTGAGTGTGGAAGATTTCAAACGCGGTGGGAAAATGAATATTTGTTCAAAGAAACCAACGGAAAGTGTGTCTGTTTGATTTGCAATGAAGATGTTGCTGTGATGAAAGAGTATAATGTCCGTCGGCGCTATGAGACCAAACATCAGAGCTACACATCGTACACCGGTGCCGAACCAACACAGCAAGTCGAGCAAATGGCGGCTAGCCTGCAAGCTCAACAAACAATTTTTTTTTCGTGCTAACAAAATACAGGAAAAACGCCACAACAGCAAGCTATGGAGTCACTAAACTTATTGCCCAGCACGGCAAACCGTTCTCAGACGGTGATTTCATAAATCGGCGCCTCATCAAAGTCACAGAAATAATGCGCCCGGAAAAAGTGCAGGATTTCAACAGCGTGAGCTTATACAGAAATACGGTGGTGCGGAGAATCGAGGACTCGTCAGCCAACTTGAAACTTCAGCTGAGAGACGAAGCTTGTGCTTTTGATTTTTACTCGATAGCGTGCGACGAGAGCACAGATGCCACAGACACCGCGCAGCTGTTAATTTTTTTGCGGGGAGTAGATGATAATTTTTTTTCTGTACGGAGGAACTGCTTGATATGATGAGCCTAAAAGGCCCAACGACGGGTAGAGATTTTTTTGAAGCTGTGTCAGAGGCAGCTGAAAAGATGGGGGCTTAAATGGGCCAAGCTCTGTGGAGTAACAACGGATGGAGCTCCGGCCGTGACGGGCGAGTGCAAAGGAATGGCATCGATGGTGTGCGCCAAGGTAAAAGAGAGCGGAGGTGAGGCTGTTAGGATGCGCTGCGTAATCCACAAAGAAGCACATTGTGTGCCAAGACTGTCCAGCTGGGCGATGTGATGAACACTGTTGCAAAAACTGTCAACATATTTCGAGCTAGAGGACTGTATCACAGAGAATTTCAAGCTTTCCTATGTGACGTGGATGCTGAACACGGGGGATGTGCTCTACCACTCTGATGTGCACTGGCTCAGCCGCGGCTCTGTGCTGCAGCGGTTTTATTCGCTGAGGTCAGAAATCGACCAGTTTTTGAAAGAGATAGGGCCGACCTCTTCGTGAACTGAGTGACCCTCTGTGGCTGGCAGACCTGGCATTTTTAGTTGATCTTACTCATCATCTGAATACACTGAACAAGAACCCACAAGGCAAAGAACAGCTGGTGCCACACCTGTATGCGCACATGAAAGCCTTCTGTGTAAAGCTCCGCCTGTTTGAGACACAACTACGGAGCTTTAATGCTGCACACTTCCCTGCGCGGTCTGAAATCAAGTCTGCTTTTCCAAAGGCCGACCTTTCTGCTAAAAAGGAGAAATGTGTGTCTGTGATTGTATCTCTCGTGACAGAATTCAACCAGCGTTTCCAAGATTTTTCTGTCATTGTAAAACAAATCAAGCTGTTCTTGACCCCCTTCCTGGTGGATGCAGAAGAAGTGGAAGAGAGTCTGCAGTTAGAACTGATTGAAATGCAATGTGATGATTCTCTGAAGAGTCAACATCAGCTTCTCTCCCTCCCTGACTTCTATCAGAGTTTGGATAATGCCAAGTTTCCTCTGATGAGACGCCACGCAAAAAGAATGATGAGCCTGTTCGGCTCAACATGCATATGTGAACAAACATTTTCTCTGTTAAATCAGAACAAAAGCAGACCGAGAACCAGAATGACTTGATAGCCATCTCTGTGAAGTCCTTCGTGTCTCAACCACCAAACTTTCTCCTGACATGTCAGCCATCCTTCAATCCAAAGGACAGTATCACTGCTCCCACTGAGTGCAGTGTTCTTCACATTATAGGTGAGTTAGAAATACACACAGTATTCATGTGTCAATGTGTCACCTCTAGTGTATGGCCCGGCCTTTTGTTTATTTTTCTGTATTTGGCCCTCACTAAAAAAACTTTGGACACCCCTGCACTACACTATACACTACGCACGACACTACTATACACTACAACATACACTACAATACACTTCACTATATACGACACTATACAATACACTACACTATACACTACAATACACTACACTATATTACACTATTCACCACAATAAACTATATACTACACTATACACTACAATACACTACACTGTACACCACAGAGCCACTATTTTCGACAAACACTACACTATACACTACGCACGACACTACTATAAACTACAACATACACTACAATACACTACACTATATTACACTATACACTACAATACACTACACTATATACTACACTATACACTACAATACACTACACTATACACTACAGAGCCACTATTTTCGACAACACTACACTATACACTACGCACGACACTACTATATACTACAACATACACTACAATGCACTACACTATATTACACTACAATACACTATATACTACACTATACACTACAATACACTACACTATACACTACACTATACACTACAATACACTACACTATACACTACACTATACACTACACTATACACTACACTATACACTACAATACACTACACTATACACTACAATACACTACACTATACACTACAATACACTACACTATACGCCACAGAGCCACTATTTTCGACAAACACGGCGGTTGTGCAATGCCTCGGATTTCCCTGCGCACCACCCACCCACCAGGGCCGTGCAAACAGAGGCTGCAGGTCAGCGCTGATAATGCTGCCGCTGCTGCCACTGCTGCTATCATCCCTGCTTATCAGCTTGCAGGGGGTGAACGCAGTCCATGCCCTAGCGCTTATGCCGCTGTCACAGTCTCCAGAGATCGTCTCTCGCGACAGACGTGGTTTGCCGGATCGCTCGCTCGCTCGCTCTCAGATATGCTTCAGGGGCCGTCTGGAACGCTCTCTTCCGCCTGCGCCGATATTTAGGAAGCCACTGGGAGTTGCGCGCTGTTGGAGTCGTTACTTTTCTTGAGAAACTGTTTTTTCGTGTTTTTCGTGTGGTTTTCGTGTGTTTGTCATCCCCCCCCCTCTCTCTCACCCCCTCCCTACCGGCAACCTCATTGGCACGGTTGGCATCTTACGGTGCGAAAGAAGTTCAACATACACACACACTACCCATAGACTCAACACTACCCATAGACTCAACACTGCCCATAGACTCAACACTGCCCATAGACTCAACACTACCCATAGACTCAACACTGCCCATAGACTCAACACTGCCCATAGACTCAACACTACCCATAGACTCAACACTACCCATAGACTCAACACTACCCATAGACTCAACACTGCCCATAGACTCAACATAGACTCAACACTGCCCATAGACTCAACACTGCCCATAGACTCAACACTACCCATAGACTCAACACTACCCATAGACTCAACAATACCCATAGACTCAACACTGCCCATAGACTCAACACTGCCCACAGACTCAACACTACCCATAGACCCAACACTACCCATAGACTCAGACTCAACACTACCCATAGACTCAACACTGCCCATAGACTCAACACTGCTACCCATAGACTCAACACTGCCCATCGACTCAACACTGCTATACCATAGACTCAACACTGCCCATAGACTCAACACCGCTCCTTCGATCAGCGCGGTTGGCTAGGTACGGTGCGAAAGAAGTTCAACTTGCGTGCACCATGCCAGGACAATCGACCCTCGTCACAGTGGTCTCGTGCGTGCTCGTCAGCTGCCTCGTCAGCAAGGCCGTGTCCACGAAGGGGTCCCATGGGGACGAAGATGAGCTGCAGGTGCCGAAGGTTGGTGCGGTCACCCCTCGATATCATCATCGTCGTTGTCATCATCGCCATCATCATCATCACTGCCAATAATCATTATCATCAATATCATCATTTCCATCATCAACATCATCATCATAACCATCGCCATCATCACCAGTGCATCAACATCAATCATCATTCCAATCATCAATATCATCATCGCCATCATCATCAGTGCATCGACATCAATCATCATCGCCATCATCAGTGCATCAATCATCATTCCCATCATCATCACCAGTGCATCAACATCAATCGTCATTCCAATCATCAATATCATCATCAGTGCATCAACATCAATCATTATTCCCATTATCATCATCGCCATCATCATCAGTGCATCAATCACCATTCCCATCATCATCATCGGTGCATCATCGCCATCATCATCAGTGCATCACCACCACCGTCTTTGCAGGCATGTCGGCTTCTCTCGAGTTTCTGTTTCCCAGCCACCCGCACGACTTCTGCCGCCGCTCGCAGCCTCCCTCCCCTCCCTCCTAATACTATTAGTACTACTAGTAGTAGTATCTACTACTATCTCCTACTAATAGTAGTAGGTGCTGTGCCACGCTACAATCCGCCATCCCATCCCTAATAGTACTACTAGTAGGTTCGTACCATGTTACGATCCACTATCCTATCTCTAGGACTAGTTAGTGGTACTAGTAGTAGTAGGTTATGTGTAGGGATGTTGTGGGAAGGAAACACCCAGCGTGGGAAGGTAACACACAGCCACACCTTGGTGGCTACAACCACGTCCGCTATAGCTCCGCCCTCAGTGGTGTATGGGTATAAAGGGCGGGGAGCCAGAGAGCTCGGGGCAGTGTGTTGGGGCCACCAATGAAGAACCAGTGAAGAAGAAGGCCGGCTAGATAGACCCTGGGACTTCCCTGCCCGCAGTCCTTTTAAGGGCCGGCAGCGTAAGCCGGTGGTGCGGCCCCAGAGCCTCAGAGCCGGAGCCCTTTTAAGGGTCGGTCTGGTTGGTGGGGTGCCGTGACCCGTGCTTGACCAGGGCCAGATCAGATAGCTTCCTCTAGCGCCTGTAGCTGGAGGAACTGGGAGCACAGGAGTTAGGCTAGATAGCCTAGAGGGTGTCCCAGCGTGTATACGGGTGAAGGGGCCGTTACCCCTTCCAGTGTAACCCTTGTTACATTAAATAAATAGTGATGCCTCTAGTCCATCGTCTCCGTGTCCCGTGAACCCACTACATATGTACCATGTTACGATCCACTATCCTATCTGTAGGACTACTTAGTGGTACTAGTAGTAGGTTATGTACCATGTGACGATCCGCTATCCTATCTCTAGGACTAGTTAGTGGTACTAGTAGTGGTAGGTTATGTACCATGTTACGATCCACTATCCTATCTGTAGGACTACTTAGTGGTACTAGTGGTAGGTTATGTACCATGTTACGATCCGCTATCCTATCTGTAGGACTAGTTAGTGGTACTAGTAGTAGGTTATGTACCATGTTACGATCCACTATCCTATCTGTAGGACTACTTAGTGGTACTAGTAGTCGTAGGTTATGTACCATGTTACGATCCACTATCCTATCTCTAGGACTACTTAGTGGTACTAGTAGTCGTAGGCTATGTACAATGTTACGATCCACTATTCTATCTCTAGGACTAGTTAGTGGTACTAGTAGTAGTAGGTTATGTACCATGTTACGATCCACTATCCTATCTCTAGGACTACTTAGTGGTACTAGTAGTAGTAGGTTATGTGTCATGTTAGATCCACTATCCTATCTCTAGGACTAGTTAGTGGTACTAGTAGTAGTAGGTTATGTGTCATGTTACGATCCACTATCCTATCTGTAGGACTACTTAGTGGTACTAGTAGTAGGTTATGTACCATGTTACGATCCACTATCCTATCTCTAGGACTACTTAGTGGTACTAGTAGTCGTAGGCTATGTACAATGTTACGATCCACTATTCTATCTGTAGGACTACTTAGTGGTACTAGTAGTAGTAGGTTATGTACCATGTTACGATCCACTATCCTATCTGTAGGTAGGAGTAGGTTCTACTACTACTCAGTGCCAGGTGAAGCTATTGCAGGGCCTGTAGCAAGGCCGTAGCCATGGAGTCAACATTGGGGGGGACCAAATCTTCCAGGGGGTGTGGGGGTCCCCCCCCAGAAAAAAATCTAAGTTTGAAAACGAATTTCCTGCCTAAAATATAAAAAAAAATCACTAATACATAGGATGTGCTTTTTTTTTTATTTACAATAACGTCTAAGAGTGTATTGTATTACATTGCTCTGCTTTTTCTTTTTTACCTTTTCTTGTTTCATTGTATGTAATGGCAGAGATTAGGGATTAATAAAGTACAACCATAACAACAATCATATAAACAGAAATCTATTTTATAGCAATATATTGGAGGGGACATTTTGAGCATATTGAGGGGGATGTGTCCCCCACAATATATTTTATAGCTACTGCCTTGGCCTGTAGAATATCTAACCATGGGGCCCTAAAACATCCATAAATATTAAACCACACATTTTTGCCTGGCAACGTAATTTATTTTTTTCCTTTGCTGAACAGCCAGATAATACGACAAATCGCTAACCTTAAACACCCAGTCGTTCATAAAGTTGAAGGCAGTATAGTACTATAGTAATAGAGCAAGGGCAGAATCACTGAACCGGAATTGATATCTTGAAAGCATTTCGTGTGGGGGCCTTGAAAGTGCGGGGCCCGTAGCTACTACATACGTAGCTACTTTTGCTCCTAGGATAATCCGGCACTGTTACTACTAGTAGTAGGTTCTGTACCATGTCACCATTCACCATTGAATCTCTTTGTTTAGATGTAAGTTACTTTCCATTCACGTTATCGTTTTCAGGAACATATCCTTCGGCATAAACCGGGCTATACCTGCACTTCATTGTTAACACCACACACACCGCAGTGACACACTATTACGCACTGTTCTATTTATTGTTACCAGTGAAGGCCCCACTGAGCTATGTAGCTATTTTATCATTTAATTACACGCTTATATTTAACTCACTCTGTCTGTTGTTGTCGTTGTCATCATTGTCATATCCTCAAATCTTGTAACTCAATTTTAACCCACTTCCCAATGTGGTATCGACTGCAAACTTGGTATGCTTATGTCATACTGATGACAATACTAGATTCTATCATTAAAAATATATATTTTTAAACAATATTTTTTATATGTTATGTTTCGGCTTGGGTTTAATTGTCCACGCTCAACTCACGTTGGCTGTAAATCACCACGGGTCCCTGACGTTGTGGCAAGCTTCGGGGCCACATCCTGGAGTCGTGGAGTTCTGCCATTACTAGTACGGTACATTTAATTAAAGCGTGTTTAAAAAAAAAGTATTTTTAAATAATACTTATTTCAGAAGCGACCTGGCTATCACAAACGATAGCTCAACGAAGTGGCTAATTTCGTGGAAATTTATAGCGGCTGCCAAACACTTTCAACGCGTGACGTCGAATCTAAATGTCGAGGGGAAAAAAACAGCCAGAGGACCCAGATGAAAAAAAAATCCACACGACCACGGGGAGACACCACCCACTCCAAATATACAGCAGCAGGCATTGTCAGGGTCAGGATTGAACCCACGACCTCCTGTACACCAGGCGAGGCAGTGAACATCTCCGAGCCACCGTGGAGCTGAGCCTTACCTGGTGACACATCAACCGCCCTTCTGTTGCTTGCCAGTTCCTGGGCACGTGGTACGGCGTGGCCGTTGCATCCGACAACGGCGAGCTGCTGGCGCTGATGCACAAAGTGAACAGCAGCGTGTACCACGTGGAGGAGGGTGCCAACGGCACGGTGGTCATCCACGGTGCCTCCTTCATGTGAGTAGCCCCCCCTCTCCCCCCCCCCCCATCTCGCCTAGGGGCACCCCCTGTGGCAGCTGTTCCCAGACGCATCAGTCTTTTTTTCCTTCCAAATTACACGACTCAATTGGGAAACGCCCGGCAACATCGCCACCCCCTACTGGCAGTTTGATGCACAGGGACAGCTGCCACTGGGGGTACCCCTAGGCTACACCACACAGCAGCAGCAACATCATCGCCACCTTCTACTGGCAGACTGATGTACAGGGACAACTGCCACTGGGGGTACCCCTTGGCTAGACCACACAGCAGCAGCAGCAACATCATCACCACAACCCCAACTGGCAGACTGATGCACAGGGACAGTTGCCACTGGGGGTACCCCTTGGCTGGACCACAGAGCAATCACCACATTCCCGACTTTGAAACGCACCACTGCAGACTGCGCCTGTGAATACACAGCAGCGTTGCCACCTTCCTTAGGTGACCATTGCCCTCGGAGGGGAAATGTCGCGAAACACACGACCGTTGCTGGGTTGCGGCATTGCTACGAATAAAATTGAGTGATCGCGGTGACCTGATGACCTGTGCTGTGCCTGATGTCGATCCCGCTCAGGATGGGAATGTGCATTCGTGAAACGAAGCACTTCAACCTGTTCGCAAAGGAGAAGATCCTGATTCCTTTCGTGCCCGGTACGACCGCCTCGTGTGTACTACTCCCTCTGTCTCTCCCTCTCTGTGTGTGTGTGTGTGGTCTTTTTGTCGGGGGAGCGATGATGCAGTTGGTTGCTGCTACCGCACCAACCCAAGAGCCAGCGGCGACCCCACTCCCAATTGCACATCGAACATCATCGACCCAATGAACCATGCACGATTACCTCGCTGACGATCTCGTCAAGGAGAGCAATGCAGTTTAACACGTTGGAGGCTTTCGCGACCAATATTATTCATAATAAAGGTTTTTTGGGTTAGATCGCGTTAATTTATAAATGTGTCGTAACCCTCCACCACCCGACACGGTCAATCAGCAAAAAAAGTGTCACGTTGACAAAAGACAAATAGTTCAATACTTTAGCCCACTGGTGTGTCGAAGAGTGAATCCACAACATTTACAGTTTGAATACGAAGCATGTTTTTTTTTTGGGGGGGGGGGGGGCAGAGCTTTGTGACGTCATATTTAAGGGGGGGTCTGACTTTTTGTGACACCGTGTGACGAAGTGGGGGGTTCAAAAATCGTCCAAAATCACGTGACGTCATTTATGGACGGCCCCTTATTGACAAGCCACGATTTCTGCTTTGTGTTTCGTTGCCCAGACCACAGCAGCCAGCCCTTCTCAGACTTCGTGGGCGACACGAACGCCACCTACAGGTTCCTGAAGATCAAGTACGAGAGCTACTCGGTGATGCAGCAGTACGGGTACCGCAACGGCACGCGGGAGAGCATCCTCTACCTGCTGGGTGGGCACCCACAACGACAATAACAACAACAATAGTAACAACAACAATAGTAACAACAACAACAGCAGCAGTAACAATATCTAGATTTGAAGCTTTCGTGACTGCAGCAATCCATACTCTTTGGTTCTTTCGGTAAAGTCACGTAGGTATAAAATCAAATAAATCACGACGTTTCGGGCGCAACACAAGGAGTCCATCATCAGCGTGGTCTGCTGCTGAGGCTTGAAATGGGTGTAGCCCAAGGGTCATAAAGAAGTGGGCGTGGCTAGTGACGTGAGAAATTAGCATAGGAGCAGAGCGGCCTCCTCGACGAGGGCACGGAAGTGGCTATGTTAATGTGAGGGATTAGCATGATGTAATAACAATAGTAACGATAATAATGACAATAACGACAATAACAATAGTAACAATAACGACAATAATAGTAATAACGACAATAACAATAGTAACAATAGTAACAATAACGACAGCAACAATAGTAACAATAACGACAATAACAATAGTAACAATAACGATAATAACAATAACGACAATAACAATAGTAACAATAACGACAATAACAATAGTAACAATAACGACAATAACGACAATATTAACAATAGTAACAATAACGACAATAACGACAATATTAACAATAACGACAATAACAATAGCAACAATAGTAACAATAACTACAATAACAATAGGAACAGTAACTACAATAACAATAGTAACAATAACGACAATAACGACAATATTAACAATAGTAACAATAACGACAATATTAACAATAACGACAATAACAATAGCAACAATAGTAACAATAACTACAATAACAATAGGAACAGTAACTACAATAACAATAGTAACAATAACGACAATAACGACAATATTAACAATAACGCCAATAACAATAGTAACAATAACGACATTAACAATAGTAACAATAACGACAATAACAATAGTAACAATAACGACAATAACAATAGTAACAATAACGACAATAACGACAATAACAATAGTAACAATAACGGCAATAACAATAGTAACAATAACGGCAATAACAATAGCAACAATAACGACAATAATAATTGTAACAATAACGGTAATAACAATGGTAACAATAACGACAATAACAATAGTAACAATAACGCCAATAACAATATTAACAATAACGACAATAACAATAGTAACAATAACGACAATAACAATTGTGACAATAACGACAATAACAATAGTAACAATAACGGCAATAACAATAGTAACAATAACGACAATAACAATAGTAACAATAACGACCATAACAATAATAACAATAGTAACAATAACGACAATAACAATAGTAACAATAACGACAATAACGACAATAACAATAGTAACAAATAACGACAATAACGACAATATTAACAATAACGACAATAACAATAGCAACAATAGTAACAATAACAACAATATTAACAATAACTACAATAACAATAGGAACAATAACTACAATACCAATAGTAACAATAACGACAATAACGACAATAGTAACAATAACGACAATAACAATAGTAACAATAACGACAATAACAATAGTAACAATAACGGCAATAACAATAGTAACAATAATGCCAATAACAATATTAACAATAACGACAATAACAATAGTAACAATAACGACAATAACAATTTTAACAATAACAACAATAACAATAGTAACAATAACGGCAATAACAATAGTAACAATAACGACCATAACGACAATAACAATAGTAACAATAACGACAATAACAATAGTAACAATAACGGCAATAACAATAGTAACAATAACGACAATAACAATAGCAACAATAACGGCAATAACAATAGTAACAATAACGGCAATAACAATAGTAACAATAACTACAATAACAATAGCAACAATAACGGCAATAACAATAGTAACAATAACAGCAATAACAGCAATGACAACAATAACGCCAATAACAATAGTAACAATAACGCCAATAACAATAGTAACTGTCACATCATCCATAAAACAAGGACTCTTGTGCCCTAAGGGGCCGTCCATAAATGACGTCACGCACCTGGGGGGGGTCAGACATTTGTGACGATGTGTGACAAGGCTGGGGGGGGGGTTGAAAAATTGACAACACGTTCTACTTAATTAAATAGACTTTTTAATCTTTTCTCCTACAACATCAGAGTGCAGCGCCACATTAAATACGCACTACAATGACAATAGTTTAAAGCGATTTGAAGCATGTTTTTTTTGGGGGGGGGGGCAGAGCTTTGTGACGTCATATTTGAGTGGGGGGGGGGGTCTGACCAACACAATGTAGAGGGTTGTACACCCTAACACTGGGACAGCATGGTCTCACAGTGTTCTGGTGGAGTACGGGCTCGCGTTCCAACATCCTCTTACAGAGCCTGGCCCTGGTCACGCCATCAAGTGCCCTCTCCTTATGCACTTCAGTCGTAGCCGTCCTCACCTCCATGAGCAGGAAGCATCTTTTACAATATCCCACCATCACCACCACACTCCACGTTCCCTCGAGCAGCCACACGCATGCGCACACTCAGACTCAGCCAAGGAGCCAAAGACCACACACTCCCAATGCCAGGCATTCAATGCCAGGCTGTTGGGGTCTTGCTCCCCAATGTTGCTGCTGGTCTTGTTCACGCCACTGCTCGGCAAGCCCTACCCCATGGCTTGGCTCCCCACGACAGCCGAGTGAAGCTTGCTGCTTGCAGGTGGTAGTAGCCCACCATGATGATGGCGGTGCTGTGCCACAGAGTCCCAACCGAAATGCTCATTCAGAGCCAAGCCCCCTCGGGCTCTCCCCGGATTGGTCAAACACCTGGCCAATTACAATAGGCCACCTCCCTCTACACTGCCCCTGGATCCCTCCCCATCCTCGGTGTCACTCAATGGCAACAATAATATAAATAACAACAATGATAATAGTAACAATGAAAACATTAAAAATAATAATAGTGTAGTGGGTTCGATTGAGGCGCACACTCAACTTGGAGGCAACACTATTTATTAACGCGTAGCAACCCACGTGAACACTATGCACAGGGTGGTGACCACCGTTCCTCATCTCGCTAACACTCGGGGAATACCGCACGGCGTGAGCCCGGGCAGGTGACTTGGGCTGTCTGGTCACAGACGAAGGTCAGAGACTCCCAAGACTGCTGATGGCGTCTTCATCCCTGGGGTTGAGCAGCCCCGCTCTCTGTTCACGCCCCGCTTATAACCGCTGCGGCGTGGCCGGCTCCGCCCCAGGCCACGCCCCCCTTCTCGATCCTTCGAGAAGGTCCGGGCCCCCAACCACGTGACCCCCAAGCTCCCCCCTGGTGCCCCTAGCCCCCCTTTATCCGGTCACGTGTCCTGTTGGGTTCACGCAGAGTGTCACGGCCTCACAACAACAACAACAACAACCGCCATTCGCCACTAAGTGGCGGTGACATCACCACGATGCTTGTGCCAGGCCATGTGCACATTGAGGCCACGTGGAGTGTCGAACGCCCGCTGGTAGGAGGTCACGGGGCAGACCCAGGTGCCACGGGTCGACTGACTGAGATGACTGGCTGATGCACCACTTGTGCCCCCTACTGTGCCAACCTGCTGTGCTTCAGCCACCCGGCGCTACGCTCGTTGTTGTGAGCGTTGCTTTTCCGCCCTCCGTTGTTGTTGAAGGGCGACTGCCTCCAACTGCCCAGTAGCGTCCTTCACGATCCTCCTCCACAGAGGCCGATCTTGACACCACTGGTACCAGTCATCGGAAGTCCACTCAGCTCCACGTCCTCCTGTACCACGTCACTCCATCTCTTCTCTAGCCCGTGCCGCGCCTACCTAGCCCCGTCGATCTGGCCGAACAAAAGCTATTTCGGCATGCGGTGGCTGGGCATGCAGGCTACATGACGCAGCCAACACAGCCTTGCCTGCTGGAGGAGCTCACCGATGGGACCGTGCCCAGATCTTTCAAGGATTTGTGAGCTCCTCACACAATCCAGCCTGGTTAAACCCAGGATGGATCGTAGGCAGGCTAGCCTAAATGTTTCTACCCGGCGAAGATGTTCCATTAGGGGGTCCACGTTTCGCAAGCGTAGAGAAGGGAGGGAATGACCGTGGCCGAGAAGAGCTGAAGCTTTGTGCAGAGCGACAGACCAGGTAGCTTCCACACAGCATTGTGCAGCCGATGAAAATACATTGCCGCCCGACTGATTCGGAGTGAAACCTCTGCTGTTAAACTGGAGCCGGTCATGAGCACACTGCCCAGGTATGGGAAACTCTCCACTCTCTCCACAACTGCCCCATCACTGATTGGGAGTTGTGGGGGTGGAGTGTCCGATGGTACAAAATACCCAGGCAGGTGCTTAGTTTTGGTGGGGCTGATGGTAAGGCCCCATCTCTTAGTAGCATGCTCCAGCCTCAACAGCAGTGTCTCCAACTCCTCCTCTGAATGAGCAGCTATTACCAAATCATCGGTATACATAACGTGGTTGAGCAATAGGGAGCCATCCCTTGACCGCACCCGGGCATCGATCAGCCTCCCACCATATCTGCACCACATGGAGACTTTCCGGTACAGCTACTGAAGGCCTCATGAACCACGTGGTCAAAATAGATGCCAAACAATGTGGGAGCCAGAGGACATCCCTGTCGCACCCCAAGGTGTACAGGGAATGTCTCTGACTCCCGGCCACGTAGTTTTACCCGGGCCCGCTCACCACCACGAAGGCCCCCAATGATCGTGAGCAGAGGGTCAGGCACTCCAAAAGCACGAAGAACAACGCAGAGCCCAGGCCTACTGATGGCACCACAGGCCTTGACCAGGTCAACAAGCAGAGACGCAGGTCCCACTGGAACTCCCCACACCTCTGCTGCAGCAGACGGACAGAAAACATGGCATCCGTGCAGGACCACCCCCTCCTGAAACCGCACTGGGGCTCCGCAAGCCCCTCCCCAGCATGCCTGGCAAGGCGATGTTGAACAATCCCCGCCAGGACCCCTACCGGCACACTGAGGA